TTTTTTTTCCCTTATTTTTTTTTTTTTTTTTTTTTTTTTTTTAAGATTCCACAAAAGCATACAGTATTTGTCTTTCTCTGTCTGGCTTATTTCACTAAGTATAATCCCCTCCAAGTCCATCTTTGTTGTTGCAAATGGCAAATTTTCATTCATTTTCATGGCTGATTAGTGTTCCATTGTGTATATATACCACATTTTCTTTATCCATTCACGTGTTGATGGACACTTAGGATGCTTCCGTATCTTGGCTATTGTAAATAACGCTGCTGTGAACGTTGGGGTGCATGTATCATTTTGAATTAGTGTTTTCGTTTTCTTTGGATATATACCCTGGAGTGGAATTGTTGGATCATATATGGTAGTTCTATTTTTATTTTTTGAGGAACTTACATACGGTTTCCACAGTGGCTGCACCAATTTACATTCCTACCAACAGTGTACAAGGGTTCCCCTTTCTCCACATCCTCGCCAACATGTTATTTGTGGTCATACAGAGCCTTTTTTAATAATTTAAAATCGAGTGTTAGAACTTCTAAAGAAAAGAAAATGGTACAAAGATACTATGACATATGGCTACATATAATAGGATAATATTGATCTAAAACTAAATCTGTTTAGACATGATTTTTGAATCTCATTGTTCTTTATGAGACCTTTCTTTATAAGACCTTAGTTCTTCTGGACACAGCTTATGGAACCACATTGCTTCAGACAAGTATAAAACAATTGACCTTTGAAGCAAAAAAGCAATCTATTTCAGATTTAACATCCAGTTCTAAGTGTCTCGAAAAAACTCATTCAATCTTAAATTTAGCAGACCTTTTCTATCATATGTTATAGTTGTACATTGAAAATTTACCCAATAACAATGAAGGGAGATATTTTGGAATTTTGCTTAACAGGTTTTGGTTTGCAGTGTTATAGAATTAAACATAGGATAGAGCAGTCTCGGAATATATCTGAAGGAGTTACAAAAGTACCAATGAGAGAATTAAAAGTCAGTTTCATGTTAATAATTCTTCCTCATACCATAGAAATCACTCAGTAAAGTGCTGGCACGTGTGAAAATATCTACTACACCTTAGGGCCTGTTACAGGATCTCTTTACGTGAAAATACTGAACCAGATTGCTTTAAATAAGTGTTATTTGGAATTTAGGCAGTGATTTCCAAGTCTTAGTCTGTAAATTGGTTCTGGTCTTTAACAAAGTTAGGACAATAAGAACAATGTGTTTTTTGTATGTTTTTAATTAAAAATAAAAAGTTATCTTTTTTCTGGATGTCTTTATCCAATATTTTTTGTTGCTTGGGAGTAGGGCAGTGATTTCTAATACTGTAATAGAAATAGGAAGTAATTATAGAAATAGAAAATGCTGGTAACTGTCAGTCCTGCATTTCTTGTACTGGAATCCAGGAGTCTGAAAGTCATTAGTTTACCTAACTAAATGGCTTAACAAATGAAATTATTCTTAAAACTTACTTGGTTGAAAGATGAAGATCATGAAATGAGAAAATAGTTATTTGGCACCCTTTTCTGGTATAGTTCTAAAACCAAACAATTTCAAAAAGTTATATTACCTTTGTTTTTCTTCACTAGGTTTGTAAATATTATCTCTGTGGTTTTTGTCCTGCGGAATTGTTCACAAACACTCGTTCTGATCTTGGTAAGTGTTCTGTGTAACTTTTATCGAATTTATGATTAAAGAGAAACTAATACTTTATAATTTTGAAAAGAGGTTTCCTCTTAAAGGTTTGTTGATAAAGTAATTTCTTTCCTGGCTTAGTTTTTTGAATGTATTAATAAATGTCAGTCTAATTAAACATGGTGGCTTAATTGAATATACATATCTATTTCCACTCCCTCCTGAAACCCCTCCACTAAAATGAAAATTTAAAAACAAAAAAGGTGTAAATGGAAGAGTCGAGATAACATTAGAGATGTCAGCACATTTTTGGAAGATGACAAGTGGATGGAAGAATAGCAGAGAAACCTGTACCTAAAAGCCTGCAGAAGGGGATATTAAACAGAAGAAAGAGTTTGATCAGCAGAACCCTGGACAGGCTCAGGATTTGGAGGCATCAGGTACCATAGAAGGCAGAGTTGAATCATGGGGCTGAAAACCAGAGATTAGTCTAGTTCAGGGTTTCTCAACCTTGACATTTGACAGTTTTACCTGGAAAATTCTGTGTTTGCGGGGGTGGGAGGGGCTGTCCTGTGGATTGTAGGATGTTTAGTAGCATCCTTGGCCTGTACCCAGTAGACGCCAGTAACATCTCCCAATTGTGTCAACCAAAAATGCCTCCAGGCATTGCCAGATACCCCTGGGGGCAAAACTGCCCTTGTTGAGAACCACTAGTCTGTGTGGTCAGACCTGTGCATCTGGTGATTCTGTCTCCCACCCCTACAGCCCAGGAGACCCCAGGGGGTTATGTTCTGAAGGAATTGGGGTAAAGAGACTCTAGTTCATTTGAGCCACAAAATGCAAAAAAAAATTTGATCATTTTCTTCTCCCAAGGATGGTACATAACTAGTATCATTCTAGAAACATGAGCAGCTTGCCCTAAAACTTTAAGAGCACATTAGGGCTGGATGTATCTAGATACTGGGAGTAGAGATACAGGACAGGGCAGTAATGAACAAAGGTGAGACTATAAGAGATAAAATGAGTCTGTATTTTCAATAGTGAGGTTTTCCCATTCCCTTCCTCTGCCCTGTTCCTAGAAGGATACAGCCAGATGTTTTTTCCCCAGGCAGAAGAGAAGAGGATTCTTTAGAGAAAGTGAACAGTTCCAGAGAAATGATCTACAGGTACTGACCCTTGGGGAATTTCCTAAAAGAAAGTCTTGCTGCCCGATTTTCCTATGGTAAAGCCCGTTAGTTGACAAACCCTGCCTGAGCATACCAACTTCCAGTCAGATTTTGGAAGTGTTTTGCCAGCCAAGGAATACCAGTCAGACATTTGAAGAAAACCTTCAAACACAGAGATTAACCAAAACCAACAGAAAAAAAGAATTTAGTGGAATATGGTGGATAATGGGGGAAAACAGAAGAAAAAAAATTTTAAAGCCATAACTAAATTCAGTATCCTCAGAGAAATAAGAGAACATATCAGGAGGAATAGGATGCTGTATTAAAAGGGAAGTTTTGAAAAACTAAGAAGAGTTCTTAGAAATTAGAACTAGAGAAATCTGAAATAAAATCAGGGGAGAGTTTTGAGGATAAAATTAATTTGTGGAACGTTGATAAAAAATTAAAATTTGAAAAAATTTTATCAGTCCAGTCCTCTAATAGCTAATTAAGAGTTCTAGATAGAGAAAACAGAAGGGAGGAAATTTTAATATTGCATTACTAAAGGACTTTACCCTCTAGATTGAGTGAGTCCTTCAAGAGCTCAGTACAACAAATGAAAAAAGATCCACACCATTGTGAAATTCCAGAACACCAGGCGTGAGGGTGGGGCACATAGGATTATCAGTCAGGATGGCCTCAGATTTGTCAGTATGACACTGGAAGTTGAAGACACTGCAGAAACACCCTCAGGATTCTGAATGAAAAAATGTTTACCTAGGTGAGCTATATAGCCAAACAGGAAAATATGAGTGTGGAAAAAAAGGGACATTTTCAGACATGCACGGTCTCAACAAATTTATCTACCACCTTTTCTCTGGAAACTCATGGGCGTAAACCAAGAAGGAGAGAAATAAGAGATCCAGTAAACTTCAGTACAGACCAGAAAAGGAATTTCTAAGGATGACAACTCTGTTAGTGAGCTTAGAAAAAAGCAGCCCAGGCTGAAGCAGGACAGAAAGCTCATGGAAGAAAATAAAGCTGATTATCTGATATATTTTGAATCTTGAGGGAGATTGGTATTGAAATATTTTCTTATAGCTGAGTTAAAGTGTTTGAGATGAATTTGGAAATAGAGACATAGAAAAGACTAAACAAAAGAAAGAATTCCAGTAAGTTTATCAAAAGTGTCATTATAATGCACCTTTTGTTTGACTCAGCAGTTAATGTAGGACTTGCATAATCAAAATATAAGCACTGAATGTTTATTTAACCTAAATTTTTGATGCCTAAGATAAACCAAGAAAAAGCAAAATAAGCATAACATTTAGAAATATGGAGGTAAATTCCAGAAGATACAACTAAAAGGGTCAAAATTGGTTGCCTTTTGGAGATGGTGAGGGGTAGGACTAGGGTGCTAGTCTTGTACTATTCACAGAGACTCGAAATTAATAAAATGCCACTGGTGGTTCAGACCAGTGGTGTGCCCTCATCCCAGTTTTCTTCTTGGTGGCAGTAAGGAACAATTTTTTCATTCCTCCTACTCCTCTTTTTTCTTCTCTTACGTAGTTCTGCGTTATACTCATCTTGAAGACTAAGGAGAACACTTTTCATGTGCTTACCTGGGTATGTCGCTTCATGATTCAGTAGGCTTAATTTAGGTGTCTACAGACTACTCAGTGATTAAATGGATCTTCTTTCCTTTTTTAAAAAAGAACTTTTGTTTTAGCAAGAGAAAAATTAACTTCAATAATTTATACCTTCATATTTCTTGTTCTTTCAGGGCCTTGTGAAAAAATTCATGATGAAAATCTGCGAAAACAGTAAGTTACCTTTTGGGGGGTCATCCCCCCACCCCCCATCATTATTTGGCTTTAAGGGGACAAGGATTGAAGAAATAATTGAAGTTTTTGTAAAATGAATGTCGGACAGAGGTCCTGTTCATTAGTTGGGGGTGGTACAAAGTGATGCAGCTTTATGTAGTATCACCATATGAGTACATACTGTATGCCAAGAATAAGCCTAAGCATTTTTTTCTATATCACATTTGTTTTTTGTTTTTTTTCTTTTATTATTATTTTTTGGTGGCTCCTCACAGCTTGCAGGATCTTAGTTCCCTGACCAGGGGTTGAACCCGGACCCTCAGCAGTGAAAGCACAGAGTCCTAACACTGGACCGCCAGGGAATTCCCTACGCCTTCAGTCTAAACGCAGTAGTCCATGAGATTAGTTAAGATAGAATATGAGAGTTGTAATCAATAAAGATTTGGAAGGAAAACAGTGCTTATTTATTTTCATTTTTATTAGGTATGAGAAGAGTTCTCGTTTTATGAAAGTTGGCTATGAGAGAGATTTTCTGCGATACTTACAGAGCTTACTTGCAGAAGTAGAACGTAGAATTAGACGAGGCCATGCTCGTTTGGCATTATCTCAAAACCAGCAGTCATCTGGGGTGAGTATGAAATTAATTTACAGTCTTTGTAAAGTGTCCTTGTTCTCTAGAAACCCAGAGACTTCCCTAGTGTTGAAACTTGTGTTCAGGTTCATTCATTACTTTGTATTCTTTTAAAATTTCAGTCTTTGTTAATAAATGTAGTATTGATTTTGCTCATCATAAGGTTTTGATCTTAGATATAAGTAACTGACAAAATATGCAGCTGATTAACAAAAATTGAGGTAAATGAGTTACTATCCTTGTAATTCAGCATTTCAGTTATTAAATAAAATATTAGGTATGGTATGTGAGAGTTTGAATGTCTGTCTCTGTATTTTAGTTGTTGATAATACATTCTGTTGTCTTCATTAGGCAGCTGGTCCAACAGGCAAAAATGAAGAAAAAATTCAGGTTCTAACAGATAAAATCGATGTACTCCTGCAGCAGGTGAGAATTGTGTGCATTAATGTCAGAAAATACTTGGAGTAGACACTTAACCAAAGAAGGTATAAGGACGGCAAATAAATACATGTAAAGTTGCTCAATGTCATTAGACATTAGGGAAATACAAATCTACAGTGAGATGCTTTTTGAACACCTATTAGAATTGCTAAAATTAAAAAGACTGACCATATCAAGCGTTAGTGGAGAGCTGGGCAAACTATCTTACACTGTTGGGATATGTAAAATGGTGCAGCCACTTTGGAAAAAAGTTTCTCTCTTAAAAAGTTAAAAGAGGCACCACAAGCCATTACACTGCTAGGGAGATGAAAGCATATGTTTACACGAAGAGTTGTATACCAATGTTTATAGTGGCTTTATTCATAATAGTCAAGTAACACCCCAGACAAACCTGGAAAGAACTCATGTGTGTGTCAGTAGGTTAATGGATTAAAAAAATGTGATGTATCTATACCAGCGGTCCCCAACCTTTTTGGCACCAGGGACCGGTTTCGTGGAAGACAGTTTTTCCACAGATGGGGGTGGGGGGATGGTTTCGGGATGATTCAAGCTCATTACATTTATCGTGCAGTTTATTTCTATTGCTGTTACATTGTAATATATAATGAAATAATTATACAGGTCACCATAATGCTGACAGGAGGTGGAGCTCAGGTGGTAATGTCAGCGATAGACATTCATCTGTAAATACAGATGAAGCTTTGCTCGCTCGCCTGCCGCTCACCTCCTGCTGTGTGGCCAGGTTCCTAATAGACCACGGACCACGATTGGTCCGGGGGTTGGGACCCCTGATCTATATACAGTGTGATACACTATTCAGTAATAAAAAGGAATTAATTACATGTAACTGTGTGGATGAATCTTAAGGTAATTAGGTTGAGTGAAAGAGGCCAGAGCCCTACAGAAGGAAAAAAAAGTGCATGGTTCCATTTAAATAAAATTCTAGAAAATGCAGACTAATCTATAGTGACATAAAGCAGATCAGTGGTTGCTTTGGGAGGAGATACAACAAAGAGGCGGGAGGAAACCTTCTCGGGTAATATGTTTATTATCTAGATGGTGGTGTTGATTTCATGGGACTCAAACCTTAAGAAATTGTGCACCTTAGAAATTTGCTGTTTATGTTCTATCAAGTATACATAATTAATGCAGGCTTCACTAAACAAAACCAAACAAAAAGACCCAAAACAACCGCTAAATGCTAATGAAGCTTGGGGTAAAAAGAAAAATACTTGGATAGTGTGATTAGAAAGATATCCTGACTGCTTTTTAAATTCCCCTTAGATTGAAGAATTAGGATCTGAAGGAAAAGTAGAAGAAGCCCAGGGAATGATGAAATTAGTTGAACAGTTAAAAGAAGAGAGAGAATTGCTTAGATCCACAACTTCGGTGAGTAGCAACCTCATTTTGATTCACCCAGGCTGTTCACTGAATTACTAGGATCTATTCCGATTTGAGAACAGTTTTCTAATGTCAGCAAACTTTATTTTAAAGGGCCACATAGTAAATATTTTAGGTTTGCAGGTCACAAGATTTGTAACATAAAGGCTCTTATATTACAAAAGCAGCTTTAAACAATATATAAACAATTGGATGTGGCTTTGTTCCAGTAAAACTTTACAAAAACAGGCCTCTAAGCCGCTGGCTTGCCAACCTGTGCCTTAGATCATAAGTATTCATTTGGACCTGGGTTTTATTTATTTTTTGTTAGAACAAGTTACTCAGTTTGTATTTACCTTAGTACAGAATTGGTATACTCTTAATAATACCTTCTGCTTTCTTAACTTGCAGTTAGAGAATATAATGTTTGGATATTGATACGTATTTTTGTATCAATGTATTTGATATGTCTTTGACACAGTGTATTTTGTATCAGTGTATGTATTTGTACATACAAAATACATATTTTGGATATTGATGCTAGAATATAGTTGGTCATTGGTTCCCAAATATTAAAAGGATATGTTCAGATTATACTCAGTGAGTTCAATTCCTTAATGATTCTGAAAAACATTTTTAATATGGAGTCCACATTTTTAACCTGTTAAACCAAGCGAGAAATGAATTCAGACTAAAATAGGTAGCTTTTTTGAGGTGGTATAGGTAGCTTTTTCTTTGTTGGAGTTGAGGGATGGGGTCTCAGTACTTCTTGGGTGATGTGGAAAGTTGATTGCTGCTGTCATGCTTCCTCTCTCTAAAAGTTGCTGCTCAGTATTATGGCTTTGGGGAAGTGGAAAGTAGCAGTTGACAAAATTAAAAATCTATTCTAAATGTTAAGTACTTCTGGGGCGATTTGTTTGTTCTGTCTTCCTCAGATATTCTTATAATAACTGATTGATCATTTCAGACAATTGAAAGTTTTGCTGCCCAAGAAAAGCAAATGGAAGTTTGTGAAGTGTGTGGAGCCTTTTTGATAGTGGGAGATGCCCAGTCCCGGGTAGATGACCATTTGATGGGAAAACAGCACATGGGCTATGCCAAAATTAAAGCTACTGTAGAAGAATTGAAAGTAAGTTTCCTATAAGCATGTATTTTAGCTATAGCTGTACTTGATTTTAGTGTGGTTAAGCATTGATCAATAGAGATATAAATCTCTCGTTGATATTTTTGCTGACTGTGTTATTTGAGGTAGCGATAATCCCTATAATGCTTTGCTATTCATTAGGTTAGCAAAGCACTTTATTTTTTTTACCCTGTAGTGCCAGGAATTTGGGAGAAAGAATATTCCTGAGGGTTTCGTCAAATAATATCTTGTGTACATACATGGTGTTGAGATTTCTCCATTTCACTTTGAGGGCATCACATTCCATAAGTTGGTCTAAAAATGCTTCACATTAGGTAGCCATTGTTTGACAGTGTCTTTATATAGTTCTAAAAAAAAAAATCAAACTCTGTTTCCTTAGGAAAAATTAAGAAAAAGAACTGAAGAACCTGATCGTGATGAGCGTTTAAAAAAGGAGAAACAAGAACGAGAAGAAAGAGAAAAAGAAAGGGAGAGAGAAAGGGAAGAAAGAGAGAGGAAAAGACGAAGAGAAGAGGAAGAAAGAGAAAAAGAAAGGGCTCGAGACAGAGAAAGAAGAAAGAGGAGTCGATCAAGGAGTCGTCACTCAAGCCGAACTTCTGACCGAAGATGCAGCAGGTCTCGGGACCACAAAAGATCACGAAGTAGAGAAAGAAGGCGAAGCAGGTATATTGAACACATGAAACAGTGCCAGACATATAGTGGGTGTGCAATAAACAGTAGTAATTACTGGTGATATTCCTTGGTACTTGACCCTCTTAAGTCTCATTAAGTGTGAGGATGGATTATGAGAGTTGAATCTGAACGAGTCCATCTTCGAGGCAACTTCATTGCTATTTCTGAGGCAGTCTAAGGAGGTTTGATGCAGTCTTATTAGGAAGTCAGTGTATTGGATGGTCTTTTAAGTGCTTCTCTTCTCATTGATTCTGAGAAGACTTTTTTTTTTTTTGCGGTACGCGGGCCTCTCACTGTTGTGGCCTCTCCCGTTGCGGAGCACAGGCTCCGGATGCACAGGCTCAACGGCCATGGCTCACGAGCCCAGCCGCTCCGCGGCATGTGGGATCTTCCCGGACCGGGGCATGAACCCGTGTCCCCTGCATCAGCAGGCAGACTCTCAACCACTGTGCCACCAGGGAAGCCCTGGATGGTCTTTTAAGTGCTTCTCTTCTCATTGATTCTGAGAAGACTTTTTTTTTTTTTTGCGGTACGCGGGCCTCTCACTGTTGTGGCCTCTCCTGTTGCGGAGCACAGGCTCCGGACGCGCAGGCTCAGTGGCCATGGCTCACGGGCCTAGCTGCTCCGTGGCATGTGGGATCTTCCCGGACCGGGGCACGAACCCGTGTCCCCTGCATCGGCAGGCGGACTCTCAACCACTGCGCCACCAGGGAAGCCCAAGACATTTAAATTATAAATTATTTTGGGTAGGGCTACCTATTTGAAAAATTGAAGTTAGAAGGATTTTCAATTTTCAGTTCTTAAGATTTCTAATGTAAATATGTTTCAATAGTAGATTCTATTCTTTTGCCTTTAAGGGTAAGTTTTGCTTTTAATCTTGTTATTTATTCAACAGTATGTAATTCTTCAAGGTTTTTTCTCAGTGTAATATCAGCTGAGGTTGCTTTCCTTTTGTTTCAAATTATTTAAGAAGCAGAGATCGACGAAGAAGCAGAAGCCATGATAGATCAGAAAGAAAGCACAGATCTCGTAGTCGGGATCGAAGAAGATCAAAAAGCCGAGAGCGGAAGTCATATAAGCACAGGAGCAAAAGTCGGGACAGAGAACAAGATAGAAAATCCAAGGAGAAAGGTTAGTTTTTATGAGAATTTAATTTATTAAGAGACTATTTTCACTTTCTTGTCTCCCCACCGACTCACTTTTCTGCAGACACAGGCAGAGTTCCACTTCAAGCTATACTCATTTTCACTTACGATGAATACCATTCAGTAGGAGACGAGCATTATTCTTCCCTCTCCTGCTCTGATTTGTGAGAATGACAGTTGGCCTGGTGTTTTCTTAGAACATGTTAAAGTCACATCCTTCAATTGATAACTTGAAGGCTTATCATTTAGTTTCTTCCAAGTATTGCATTACCTTTTAGCCTTATTAAGGTGTAGAATTCTTGGTTATTGGCAACTTTTTTTTTTTTTTTTGTACTTGCTGCAGTGTTCCATAATATGTCTTGCAGAGTAAATGTACATTACTGCATTGGTGCTCATGTACAGCATTCATTTAACTCAGTACTTCTAAGTTTGCAGTAGTTGAATGCCTTAAATGTGTCTTACCGTGTTTTTTATTGAAGCAACATGCTCTTTCCACTCTACTTTTTCCTTTGGTTTTCTGTGGCATTCCAGTATCTGGTTCACTGTGCACTCTTAATGGACTTTTTCATTTTGTCTTCGGCATGTTTTCACAAGGATATTCTCATCTTTCAACTTAGCCTTCATTGAACGATAATTCTTTTAATCATTAGGGTTGCCTTTCTGCGTTTTCTTCAGATTCTTTGTGCGTCTGTCATTTTGTATTGACTGGGCTATTCTGCTTTGCATGGTTTTCAGGAATGAGAGAAAGGGCTTATTTCTAATTTTCTTGGCTCTGCTTGTTCCATCCTGTTCTGCCTATCTGTGTCCATGTTTGATCACCAACATAATATGTGTGCTCCTGTTTGAATTTATTATATTAGATGTGTATGTGATACTCATTATTTTCTTTTATGAAACTAGTCTATGGTTTTTGTGGGGTTTAACTGAGTTAGGAAACTAGCAGCACAAACAATAGATATTTTTTTTTGTCTTTTATTTTTCCTCAGATAAGTGCACCTTCTCTTTTTAAAAATATTTACATGTATTCAGTTTTTCTACAACATGGAGCAAATGTTAAAAAGTAGGAAACAGGGTAATTTTTAAAACTTGCTGTTGTGAGCTTTAGTATTTGCCATTTAAGTTCAGAAATTACTTTTGTGATTCAAAAGGCAATTGATACCAAGAGTTAACTGACTATATAAGTTTTAAGAAAGCTTCACCCAACCTTTTTTTTTTTTCTTTTTTGCAATACGCGGGCCTCTCACTGTTGTGGCCTCTCCCGTTGCGGAGCACAGGCTCCGGATGCGCAGGCTCAGCGGCCATGGCTCACGGGCCCAGCCGCTCCGCGGCATGTGGGATCTTCCCGGACTGGGGCACGAACCCGTGTCCCCTGCATCGGCAGGCGGACTCTCAACCACTGCGCCACCAGGGAAGCCCTCACCCAACCTTTTTGCAAGACTTTCTGTATAATATATTTTGGGGATGATGGGTCAACTCTCAAGAGCCAGATAAGGATGTCAGAGATGAAATTAATCACTTCTCTTTGAGAACTAAATCTCTTTGCTGTATCCTCATTTGTGACACTTAAAATAGTTGCATTGGTTCTCAGGGACAAAAGCTAGCTAGCCTTCATAACTATCTGGGATCAAAGTTGAGCAGTAAATGTCACTGGTCTGACTTAAAAACAGTTTGTGTAATTTCTAGAGAGAGCAGAAAAGATGAGTTGAATTGCTAAACTCTGATCCTTATTGTAATGGTAACATCGTGGAATATAATCAAACTTTTGTTTAAGTAAAATAAGCTGCATTGTGTTTAGATTATGGACAAACAGGGATTTTCCTGGTGAGATGTGGAGGAAGGAGTGAAGACTTGATTCAGAGAAAACTCTGCATCTGGTCCATCTTGAAAGATTGGGTATGCCGTTATAGATTTATTTTAAACGTTGGGATCTCTTTTAGAAGTGACATGATTTATTGGCTTTTGAAAATACCGTGTGGCCAATTAGGCACTCCTGTATAAATAACTGAAGGCCTGAACTTTGAGGTCAGATATGAGCAGTAGCAAGCATTTGATAATGGCGATGAATAAGAGGGAGCTCACTACTCCATGTGCTGTAATGAAAGCACTTTATCTGACTCCACAAATGAAAAGTGGTTTCTTGCACAAACCTATCTTTCTTAACCACCAACCAATTTAGGGTGCTCTCTTTGTCAAGAGAGGTTCCTTTTTTAATCTATAGCCCTGAAGTCCACCACACTTTGTGGATGTCCTTAGGACTATTAAGATCTACCATATTTATATAGGGCAGAAGATAAGATTATTGGACTGACTACTAGTCCTCTACGGGGCAACAAGACGACTCTTCCTCATTGAAGCTACCTGTGCACCGGAGAAGCCCATAAGGCACAAAGGGAGGACTTTCCCACAAGGTCAGTTAGAGCACACTGTACTGGCGCAGTTCTCATAAGTGGACAGACAGATGTGAAGCAAGTCCTGCAGTCAGCTACTTGGACGTTGCTTCGTGCATTTTGCAAGTGTTATGGACTGAATATGCTCCTTCACATAAGATCTTCAATTCTTACGTTCTTTGAATGAGTGCCCCCCACCCCCATACCATATTTTGTTTTCATTACCATCCCTCTCCCAGTTATTTAATGTTGTGTCTTAACACTGTGTCTAGAATCTTAGAGGGTTCTGCTTCTCTTAAAATCTCTTTCTGTCTTATGAAGTACTCTGCTAGACCAGCTATTCTTAACTTAGTTTTAAGGGGAAAAATAATTTTTCCAGAAGGTTTGTGTTGATAGTTTGCTTTAACATTTTCTGTAGAAGTCTTTTGTTAGGCAATACTTGGAACTGAAAAAGCTAGAAAATACTTGCTCCATGTACCATTTTTTGCCTCTAGTCTGGCGTTTCACCATTCCAAAGAAAACAGAAGGAAAAGTTGACTTTTTTTTTTCATCCTTTATTTGCAGCCAAGTTGAACTTTAATTCCTCCTTTTGGAAAAACAATTCTGAGATGGCACATACGTTACTTTTATTAGCAAAGCACAGAAGTTCAGTATTTGGAATGGGATTTAAGATCCACTTTCTTTTGCTGGGCTTGTTCCTCTTGGGTATTCAAATATATATATAGGTATAAGTTATCTTTTGCATTTAAAAATATATAATTGGAGAAACATGCCTATAAAATGTTCACCTTTTTTTCACCTTTTGCAGTTACTATTTTTACTTTTTTAACTTAATTTACTTCATGTGAACACAGTTTTTTGGTACTGTCTTTCATACCTTTCCCATTGCCTTTTGATGTTCTTTACCCCAAATGAAATCTACTTAAGTTTTAGATTCTGCAGTGACTTGGTGTTACGTGTACCTCTCGCCAGTTTGAGAGAATTTGCCCACGATTTTACCTTTTGCTTTCTCTAATTCCCTGTCCTGCCCTCTCTCTCCTTTATAAATTACAAATTTTATCCCTTTGATAGATTCATCAAACTGTTACTTGCAGTCTATAGGAAATGATTGTCTTTTCATCTCTCAATTGTTTTCACTTTTCAAAGCGTTATGTATGTATTGTATTTTACTTTAAAATCCACGATCAATGTCTTCTTTTATGGCAGAAAAGAGGGGATCTGATGATAAAAAAAGTAGTGTGAAGTCCAGTAGTCGAGAAAAACAGAGTGAAGACACAAACACTGAATCAAAGGAAGGTGATACTAAGAATGAGGTCAATGGGACCAGTGAAGACATTAAATCTGAAGGTGACACTCAGTCCAATTAAAACTGATCTGATAAGACCTCAGATCAGACAGAGGTAAGTGTATTGTTTCTCACTTTGATTAGGGCTTTTTGTTACTGTTTGACAGTGCAGCGTAAGTATGCACAGATGAAGATGGAACTAAGCCGAGTAAGAAGACATACAAAAGCATCTTCTGAAGGAAAAGACAGTGTAGTCCTGCAAAACATTTTGAGGTACATTGTTTTGTCTCAGCTATTTTGTAGCAGACTCGTGCCCCCCATTAGTGTGCCTCTTTGGAAATTATTACCCAACGTTTGTAATGTAGTCGCCATTGAAAAGTTAATTATCCTTTTTTTAGGGATTTTGCTGTCATTTCTTGTTTTTTTTTTTTTGTTTTTGTTTTTGTTTTTTTTTAAATAAAAAGGTTGAACTGTTTTTTTTTTCTTTTTGGTATTAAGTCCATCTTGTGTTGGTACATTGGCAGAGACATATGCTTTAAAAACTTAAATATTTCTGAGGCACATGTTGGACTACTTTGTTTTAATTAAACTGCTAGTATTTCTTTGTCAAGGATGTTTCTAGTTTTTTGCTTTATTGCCTTGCATTCTAATGCAGTTTGTTCTGTAACTCGAGAGCCAGTAGCATTGGATTGATGGAAGTGTAGGGTTTATGAATTATTGCAGCTGACTACCATACCTCACACAGCGTTGGTGTTGTGAGCGGCCCATGAAAAGCCAAATTAAAAATCAAGGATTCAGTCAAACTAAGCAGGTACTCATGCCAGGTACTCCTTTCTCTACCCACATCCATGTTTGAATGCTATTGCCTGTGATCTTTACGCTTAACTGTTGTGTATCTTTTTTGTTCTTTACAAGAAGCACAGAGGGGTTTTTTGTGTATTGCGTGAAAACTTATAATCAAATGTTAACAGAATGGAATTTTTTTTCAACTGTGTGTAGGGATGCAGTGGTGCCCAGAATTAGATATCTTTACAGAATTTTAAATACAATAAACACTTCATATTATTCGCCTTGTTACATTCAATGCAATTCTCAAGTCTTTAAGAGGTATGTGTTTAATATTTCCTACTGTGTAGGAGAATTTGCAGTCAGCCATAGGTATAATAGGAATAATCACTGGCTGATACATTTAAAGCAGCAGTGAATAGCAAGGACAGCCACCTTCAAACTGTGAAATACAAAGAACTGATGAACCGTATAGAATGAATTTGGGTTTTTAAAGAACTATTAAAAGTCAGGCTTTACAAGAGTTCTTAAAACCTGGAAACTGTTCATTCTTTGGGCTAGTGGCATGGGATTAAATATTCCTAATGAAAGGAAGTACCAATTAGTTGATTTGTCGATGACATTCCTTTTCTAGGACAGCAATATAGTGTTAAATTTGTGTGAGCCATTCACACATAGGCAGGCATACACAGGCATATGGCTTTAAGAGACCACACTGATGCCTTGATAATTTAAAAGAATACAAACATTCCATATACATATATTAATTAGCAGTTAATGACTGGGCCACTAAGTCATAAAAATCCGCCTTTTACATGTTGTCTAATTATCATTTTTCCCCAAATTTTGCCTTGTAGGAATACTGTTCGAAGATTTTTGGAAGAAAACTGAAAACGGCATAAAGTGAAGATCGACATTAAAATGAGGTGAAAGAAAACTATAGTGGCGTAGAAAAAGTATAAAGCTCAGTTAGTTTTTTTTGTTTTTTTTAATTAAAAATTAATTCAGGACTGATGTGACCTACCAGATTTCAGAACATGTATTAATAGCATATATATGCCACTGAAAACTTAGGTCCTGTATTATATTTTTTTCTTTAAGACTTTTTAAGAAATATTACCTAAATATGTGGCTTGCTCAGTGTTTAATTGCAAGTTTTCATTCTTGGACTTTGAAAACGAGATTAAACGTTAGTATTTGTGTGAATCAGACTAAGTGGGATTCCATTTTTACAACTCTGCTATACCTAGCCTTTGGATTTAGAAGTGAAAATAAAGTATCTCTGACTTTCTGTTACAAATTTGTCTCTGTCATTGAAAAGTTTTAGTATTAATCTTTTTCTAATAAAGTTATTGACTCTGAACTAGTCCCTTGTTTTAAATATGAGATACGCTGTTACTAGAGATGTTGGTGTACAGTTTTATCTGATTTGTTCTGTTTAAGACTAATTTTTATAGAATTTCCACAGTTTAAATGTTTTAAATAATGGTGCTTCAATTTGGGGTAGTTATGAATACATTTGAATTATGCTTTTAATAACGAAGATATACAACGAACTAGAATATATTTTTACATCCCTGAGAGATTTCTTTAGTAGTAGAAAATTAAAAATGTCCTTCTGACAAACACTGTCATCCTCCAGCTGTGAAATAATGATGTAGAAGAGCATTTCAAGAACTTTTAACTAGTTTTTGGTCTTAAAATCCTGTATCAAGATTTTTTTAACCTGGTCTTGTTGGATTATAAATGTATTTATTTCTATGTATGGGGTGTATGGTACATATAACAGGATGTTTAAAAAAAAAACTGATGCTTAAGGTAATGGGGATGTGGGGGGATCGTGTACAGCAAATTTAGCAGCACGTTTCTACCTATAGCCAGCTTGTGACTGTGTAAAAATATTAGCTCCAGCTACATATACCATGGCAGTTCTCTGTGCTTTATAATTTTCAGATATTGTCGTCAGTTTGTAGGTGGGGAAACTTGAGTTAGTGCATTACATGACTCACCCAGTGACTTACGGCTCCATGTTGGTGGAGAAACTAGCACATGCCTTGTGGTCTGCTACCTTACTGTTTGTGCCACTGTATTCATTCTAATAGGCATAATAATAGGCTACAGAATTTACTAAAATACCCTCCACCAAGCTTTGGGAAATAATGAAGCTGCCACTTCAGAGGCTTTGTATGAGAATGCTATTGGGACAGAGCATTCCTGGCTTACCTAGCTAATCCTGGAGATGCAGCAGTAGATGGATGGGTTATCTCTGAATTTGTCAGAGATGATTCATGTGAGGATTAATGTAAGATGGGACACGGTCTAATACAAAGTCGACCACCTCCCAAAGCACTGCCTTGTGTAGTTTAACAAGATTTTGGTTGTAGGAATAAAGGTCATAAAGTGATAGTTTATTCTATTCATATTCTATTACTAAGTATTAAAAACAAGAAATTTACTTAAGTTTTAAGGTACTTAGTCATTAAGGTATTAAATCCTGAGGGTATTAAGGTGCCAGCTTTGTTCTGTTCTGCCTCCCGTAGAATCAGTAGCTAACTTACCTTCATGAAGTCACTGAACAGCTTCGTGACGTCTTCATCATCTTCATCTGGATGGGTCACTGTTGGAGTTAACGTAGGATTTGAGGGCGAGGCCTGGTCCCTTGAGGTGTCCATGACTAAGGTCTGGCCTTAGTTGTGGAGATCTAGAAATTGGGTCACACCCAACACCCAAAATCATCAGGCTCAAGAGGAAATTATTCTTATTAACCAAATTCACAGAATCCAATATAGAGGCCATGTGCTAATTTACACTAAGAAATACACATTTCTGTCATGTAGACCAAAAAGTTGTCAGTTGGCTTAATGCATCTCTTTGAAAAGCCTTTAAGGGGAGCCAATTTTTATTAACCAGAAGATTACTTGATAAGATTGGAATCAGCAATCAGGGTTTTTTAATTTTGGAAAATTTAAGACACAAAAGTAGGAAAGTATAGTTAACTTTCATTAAAGTCCATCACTCAGTGGCCATTCTTACTCTTTGTGTGTGTCCCCTGTCATTTTCAAGTAAGTCTCAGACATATTTAATTTGTAAATATTTATGCATGTATCACTAAAAGATAAAGAACAGTTTATTAATTAAAATAAATTGGATGAACTTTTCGTTGGTCAACTGTAGTACTGGTCTGGTAGCTTACTTTCCATTGTGCCTCTCAAGGGGACGTGGTAATTGAGCCTGCTGTTCTGGCATCCTCCCTTCTGCAATGTAGAGACACTGCATCATCGCCCTTTTTGTTAAGACATTTTTTCTTCAAACAGATCATAATAGAGTAATTTTTCAATTTAAATTAAAACCTTTCTTGCCTTCTTGAGCTAATCATATTGCCAGCCTAGAGACGCTTACCTTCTTTCCTTATAGCATTACTCACCCACAGGTGATCTGTCTGGTTTCTTCAATATAGTTAGTGTCACAGAAGATAACCAGCCCTATGCCTAAGGTCTGAGAACACTGACCGTATGTAGGTTGAGTTCAGCTACCTGATTAAAAGTTTCTAGAGATGTTAAAACTGAAAAATTTAGGGTGAAAGTTTTTTGAGCTTGTGTACATTCTTTGCTTTTAAAAATGCATTGTAGATGAGCTGTGGGAATGTTTTTAAACATTCTAAATGTGCATGAAACAAAAAAAAATACTTGAGAATTGTGTATATATTCTGTGGGATGGGACTTCATTCAGGGTTGTTTTTCAGGTTTGAGTTTGGACTGATTTTTAGTTTATGAAAGAACCCCAGGTGACTGCTTTTTAAGAATTTTGTGTGACAATTGTAATGCTTGTATATGGTTCAGAAAAACAACAGAAGTGTTTAGTGATCCGACTCTCCTACTCCTGTCCCTCTCGTCCTCTACAGGAGCTACTAGTGTTAAGAATTGTTTTTCCAAGTGGTTTTTGTGGGGAGGTGGGGGTGAGGGATGTAAGCATTTATGTGTGAATCTTGTAGGGTATGTGATAGTATAGCGTACCTTCTGAATCTTGCTGTTCTCACTCAGTATATTTAGAGACATTTGAGACGTAGGAGATAGGAATTTTAAGTTTAAACAAGCAGTTTTCAAAAGTACATTTCAAGTGAAAGAGAAGTAAATGTATTTTTCATTGTTGTATTAGATTTTTTAATTTTCTAGTTTAAAAATGCAGTTTGAGAGTTTCATAGTTGATCTGTTTCTTCCCCTCAGCCATCCCAAATAGATCAGTTGTCAACAGCTTTAACAATGTTTAGGAACAACAGCTTTCGAAAACAGTTTGGCATGACTGTGCCATAACTTCTTGTGGCTCTTCCACCCCTAGATACATACCCTAGAGAAACTCCTATGCCTGTGCCAGGGGATGGATGTAAAAATGTCATAACCGCATCATTTGTAATAGAAAGAAAAGAAAACGAAAACAAACTGGAAAGACTTCAAACGTCCAACAGTCCACTGGATAAATATTGTGGTGCATTCCTATAGAGGAATTACACAGAAGTCAGACTGAACTACAGCTGCACATATGAACAAGGAGGAGTCTCAATGGTGAAAAAAGCAAGTTGCAGAAGAATGCATCCACTGTGGTTCCGTTTCTGTGAAGGTCAAAACCAGGCCGTTAAATATATGGTAAATGGAAAGCAAGGAAATGATTAGCACAATTCAGTACATTGGAGGGATGGAGGGAGATCATGAAGGGCAAGGAGGAGCCTTCAGAGGAACTGGTGGTGGTTGCTGAAGCTGGGTGGGTGGTTTCTTTTCTAAACTGTATGTGTATGTGGTTTTGTATGTATGCCATTTCTTAATAAAATTTAAATTAAAAAATGGGAAAAGGTCTTGGTGAAGGTAGTAAGTAGTAAAACATACGTAAACAATGTGTTTCATGAAATTAATCTTGAGTGAGTAGGGGATGTAAAGGGCACTGCTTCTCAAGTGCCAGATTTAGGGTCTTAATTGTAGTCTTCGAAAGCTAGAAACAGGGCCTAAATGTATGTTTTCTTTGTGATACGTTATTTTTATCTTGATGTTATTTTCATTTGGATGCCCGCCAGGGAGCTGATGCTGCTCCTGCTGTGTAAGCAGCTTCCAAGAAAGCTTTTCTGTCAGATTTATGCCAATCCAGGAAGGGGAACTGCTGAGGTGAGAAGAGCCATTCTCCTGACCTGTCAGCACGTCCTTCCCTTTGTTCAAGTTACATTGTCACCTCAGAGGGGCCGCTCTTTGTCCTTGTTCTACTCTTAATACGAATACCATGAAGTGTTTAATGTGTGCTCTTTAAGGGGAAAGTGGTTGAAACTTTACGCTACTCAGAACATTTTCCACTTTTTTGGCATTGGTTGCGATAAGTGTTGATGTAATGCCTCAGTGTCCCTTCACCCTTCATCAGAGGTGACCTATTAAGAATTTGGAGGTGAGAGAACAGTGGCCTATTTCATGTGCTGGAGGAGACAAGACATTGTGCTTGCCCAGAAGGTCTCTGGTAATTAAAGATTAGCCTTAAGGTCTCAGTTCCATGAGGATTAGAGATCATTTCACACGGGTGTGTAAAGAAGCGACAGTGTGGTGTGTCTTGTTGGAAGTTGGTAAATGGAGTCAGGCATGAGTGCTTCCAAGGCAACAAGCACTAGAAGTTAGCAAGTTGACCCAGAAGGATTCCGGGTGGTGTGGTAGGGAAGAACCTAGCACGGTGTGTGATCATAACCCATCTTGGAGCTAGCTAGTGAGGGCGCCAACTTGGTTTTATTTTTTCACCTGTTTAATAGAGTTCAGTGCTGTATGCTGTGCCTTGGCTTTTCTGCAAGTTGTATGTTAAAAGTACCCTCAAAGATGGTTACTTACTTGTGTTAAGTCATAGGTAAGTTAAAAAGTGTGTAAAAAGGAAATGATGGTAAGAGATGGTTTTAGGAACTGGGATATTTGAACCAGTGTGACAGGTGGGGTCCTGGCTTTGCCAGCTCATTAGCTCACCCTGCCCTTAATGGAGTTCATGTGAACAGACCCTGGCCATTTGTCCTGACTGAATCTCAGGAGTGCATACCTACGCCTGATCAGGATTGGGGTACAACTTTACAAACTAAACTTGCGTTGATAGGTATCATACTTAACAATTTTTTTTTTATACTTCCGTTTGTCAGAGCATCTTGAACGTACTCTTCTCCCAGCCCAGGGAAATTGCAAACAAGGAAATGTAATAAGTACACGTGAAGTTAGCAAACTGGTACATACATCCAGGCTTCATTATTTACAAAATACCAATTCCAGTTTTTTGTTTCTGGGATTTCTTAA